CATCGATGTGCCAGAATTTAAAAGATTCTGGGCATTGACTATGCTGATGGGCATCATAAAGAAGCCTTCCATCCGCTCCTACTGGAGCAGTAGCCCCATCTGCTCTACCCCCATTTACTCCCAATGTATGTTGAGGAAGAGGTATGAAATGATTCGGCATTTCATGCACTTCAGCGACAACAGCCTGTATCCCCCCTAGGGAGCATCCCTAGTTTGACAGGCTGTATAAAATCCGCCCCCTGATTACCCACTTGGCTTCCAGGTTTGCAGAGGCTTATACACCTGGAAGGAATATATGTGTGAATGAATCCCTGATGGAGTATAAGGGAAGGCTGGGATTCAAGCAGTATGTTCCTTCTAAGCATTCTAGGTATGGTGTAAAGATGTATAAGCTCTGTGATAGCGAGACTGGTTATACTCAGGCCTTCCGGGTGTACGAGGGAAAGGATAGCCACCTTTACCCTCCAGGTTGCCCAGAACATATGGGAACCAGTGGCAAGATTGTCTGGGACCTGATATTCCCCCTGATGAACAAAGGGTACCACTTGTATACTGACAATTTTTATACAAGTGTCCCTTTGTTCAAGCTACTGTACTGTTTTAAACAGTAGCTTGCGGCACAATCAAAAAGAACAGCACAGGTTTCCCAGGACAACTTGCACGCACCCGGCTACCAAGGGGGGAGACCTCAGCTCTGCGCCAAGAGGAGCTGTTGGCAGTTAAGTACAGAGACAAGAAGGATGTGTACCTTCTTACCACCATCCACACTGAGGGGACTGTGGAGGTCCCTGTACGTTGCAGAGCTGAGAGAACAAGGAAGCCAGTGTGCATCAAGGCCTATAACCGGCATATAGGTGGGGTTGATCTGGCAGATCAGCTGCTGCAGCCCTACCTAATTATACGAAAGACAAGGGCCTGGTACAAAAAGGTTGCAATCTACCTAATGCAGATTGCAACCCACAACGCTTTTTTGTTGTTCAAAAAAGCAAACCCCGGGATGCAACTGCTCTCCAGGCAGTGATGGGAGAGAGCAGAGTTGGGGCTACACACTTTATTTTTAAAATTCCCCCTACTGTGGCAAAGCAGAATCCCCTAAAAAGATGCAGGGTTTGTTCTAAGAGGGGGCAGAGAAAAGATAGTGTATATCACTGTCCTGATTGGCCTGGACTCTGCATTGGAGCCTGCTTCAAACAATACCACACGCTGGTCCATTTTTTATTTATTTTTTAAAAAAAAAAATTTTTGGGGGGGGTTGTTACATTTACCCTATGCATGGGGGGCATGGGTGTCCTAATGAGGCCTTGCAGAAAACAACCTGGGGTGTTTTCTTGCAATAACCAACAATGGGCTCTCCTAAATCAGTCAAAAAGCAATGTTTGTGTAAAAATGAGGATTGAACAGTTACCTCCACACACTTTCTTCAACTTTGTTATTTTTTGTCTGGCTAAAAAAAGTTGCATCAAAGTACTCCACATGCAATACCTTGGGGTGTCTACGTTTCAAGTATGTACCCTTTCATGGCGATATATAAAACTGTGGTATGTGATAAGCCCAAAGCTAAAGATAGGCCTATCAGAAGAAATACTCTCAATTTCAACTCAAATTGCAAGTCATACAATTGTAACCATACCTTCCCAAAATCCTGGCAAACCTATGCATGGGGGGCATGGGGGGCATGGGTGTCCTAAGGAGGCCTTGCAGAAAACAACCTGGGGTGTTTTCTTGCAATAACCTACAATGGGCTCTACTAAATCACAGTCAAAAAGCAGTGTGCGTGTGAAAAAAATGAAGATTGAACAGTTACCTCCACACACGTTCTTCAACTTTTTTTGACTAAAATTATTACATCAAAGGCATCAAAACACTCCATATACAATACTGCAGGGTGTCAACTTTTCAAATATATGCATGCTCATGGCAAGAAAATACATTGGGATATCTGATCAGGCCCCCAAATAGGCAAACAAGATATGTAAAATTTGAAAAACGTATATCAGACATTTTGCTTTGCACCTCCCAGTGAACCCGACACACATATGCATTGGTAGTATCGCTGTACTCGGGAGATGTTGCCGAGCACATATTGGGGTGTCCTTTGGCAGTAACACCTAATAGGAGCTGAGAATCTATGCCCAAAGTAGAATGTGTGAGTGAAAAATAACGCCACAAAAAAAAAAAAAATGACTACCCAAACGTTTGACAGAGACTGGTGGTAGAATTAGTGCATGGAAAGTGTTGAAATGCCACCATGTGAAATGCCCTAGGGTGTGTACTTTTCAAAAACATACGGTTTGACGGGGGTGAATTACATTGGCCGGCTTCAGAAATGTCCCAACTGGGACATGGATGCATGATGGCCAGCTGTGGTTTTTTTTTTTTCCATTTTTCATCATATTTTACTTTTTGTTTTCTAGTAAATTATATGATATGATGAAAATAATGGTATCTTTAGAATGAACATTTAATAGCGAGAAAAATGGTATATAATATGTATGGGTACAGTAAATGTGTAAGAGGCAAATTACATCTAAACACAACCACTGCAGAAATGTAAAAAGAGCCCTGGTCCTTAACGGTAATAAAATTGAAAAATGGCCTGGTCACTAAGGGGTTACGGCCGCCTGGATTTGTGTGTGTATCTGTATAACTGTCTGTCTGTCAGTGTGTGTATCTGTCTGTCAGTGAGTCTGTGTGTGTGTGTCTGTCAGTCTGTCTATTAGTGTGTGTATATCTGTATGTCTGTCACTGTCTGTGTGTATCTGTGTGTCTGTCTGTCAACCAGTGTGTCTGTGTGTATCTGTATGTTTTTCAGTGTGTCTGTGTGTATCTGTGTATCTGTATGTCTGTTAGTGTGAGTGTGTCTGTCTGTCCGTGTCTGTCTCTGTATGTCTGTCATTGCTTCAATCTGTCAGTGTGTCTGTGTGTATGTCTGTCAATGTGTCTGTATGTCTCTGTATGTCTGTCAGTGTGTCTGTATATCAGTGTGTATCTGTCAGTGTGTCTGTGTGTGTCATACTTTTATGGCTTCCCTGAGGTCCAGTATGCTGGCTGAAGTAGTTGGGAGTTAGGGACTGACTCTCCTGCTACTCTCTGGGGGGCCGGTGGTAGTTCCGCCTTTGCTGGGTGCCAGTCGCGCTTTGTGCTACATGGGGAGTAGAGGTATGTCGTGTTCATATCCCAGCCCCCTCCACACAGTCCGTGGCATGCTAGTACTCAGCTACGCTACAAGAAGTGACCAGCAGGAGAAGAGCGCTGTGCATGTCCCTCCTGCTGGTCATCCGGATATTTGTGCTCCCAAAACGGTGCGATGTCAGGTGGCTGCCTGTGCTGCCTTATGGAAGCGCCGGCCTTGCACCCGTGGGGTGTCTTTGTACCCTAACCAACATAATAACCTTTGCTGAAATCTGAAAGTATTAGCGAGCAAAGAGGACTTTTCTTTGTTTTAAATTAAATATGTTCTTAAAGGGACACTGTGGGCACCAAGACCACTTCAGCGTATTGAAGTAGTCTGGGTGCGGTGACCAGGGCCGGATTAACATAGGGGCTGATGGAGCTGCAGCTCCAGGCCCAAGCCCAGGCCCATGGAATAGGCCCATTGATTTAAAAAAAAAAAAAATATATATATATATATATATATATATATATATTTTTTTTTCACACACTACTCTTAGGGATTCCACCTGGCTTTTATTTTATTGGCACAGCCAGTATTTGAGGCTGCCTGGCCGGCACTGGCCAGTAGGGGTCGCTGTGTATGTGGAGAGAGGCAGGGATAGGAAGTTCCAGCATATCCCTCCCTGCCTATCTATACTCACTGATCTGCACGGGTGCAGCTACAGAGAGTCCAGACAGCAACTCCCACCCTGCAGAGACAGCCTACAGCTCAGGGAAGTAAGGGATGGGGGAAAGGCTGCAAGGAGACATACACTGAGACACTAAGGGGCATTGGGAGACATTATGGCAGACACTGAGACACTAAGGGACATTGGGAGACATTATGACACAGACACATGGGGACACAGTGTCCCCATGTCTCCTAGCCAGTGTCCCTGGTGTCTCAGTGCCCCCTAGTCTCCCAGTGACCCCTAGTCTCCCAGTGTCTCACTGTCCCCATGTCTCCTAGTGCCTCCATGTCTCCCAGTGCCTCAAGTGTCTCAATGTCCCCATGTCTCCAAGCTAGTGTCCCTAGAGTCTGTGGCCCTGGTGTCTCAGTGTCCCCATGTCTCAATATCTCCATGTCCCCCAGCCAGTGTCTCTAGTGTCTGTGTCCCCATGTCTTCAAGTGTCCTCTCCCAGTGTCCCCATGTGTCCCAGCCAGTGTCCCTTAGTTTCCCAGTGTCAGTGGTGTCTCCGTGTCCCTAGGTCTCCCCGTGTCCCCAGGTCTCCCCGTCTTCCTAGAGTCCTAGTGACACATACATGGGGACATAGACACATGGGAATACTGGAGGACACAGGGAGACATGGGGCATTGAGACACTGTGATACATAGGGACACTGTGATACATAGGGTCACTGGGAGACCTGGGGACACGACACTAGGGGACACTGGGAGACATGGGGCACTGAGACACTGATACATAGGAACGCTGAGACCTGGAGTAATCGACACATGGGGGCACTGGGAGGAATCCATCTATACAACATAATCAAATTAAGTAGTTTTTGGGTGACTTTACAGCATTTTCTCTTATGTCACTCCTTGTGATTTACATCATGTGATGTCACCCATACATATTTAATTATGCAAATTAGTAAGGCCGGTATGTTTTTCCAAGAAAGGTGGCAACCCTAACTACTTTTCACATACTCTTACTTAAGTATGGAAACTTAAGAGGGATGTATGGGAACAAAACTTGTGTGGACTGGCTGACAATGAATATAGTTAAAGGGACACTATAGTCACCAGAATAACTACAGCTTATTGAATTTGTTCTGGTGAGTAGAATCATTACCTTCAGGCTTTTTGCTGTAAACACTGTCTTTTCAGAGAAAATGCAGTCTTTACATTACAGCCTAGTGATAACTTCACTGGCCACTCCTTAGATGGCTGTTAGAGATCCTTCCTGGGTCATGGCTGCCTAAAATGCATCCAAACGTTCAGTGTCTCCTCCCTCTGCATGCAGACACTGAACTTTCCTCATAGAGATTAATTTATTCAATTTATCTCTGAGGAGATGCTGATTGGCCAGGGCTGTGTTTGAATCATGCTGGCTCTTCCCCTGATCTGCCGTTTTGTCAGTCTCAGCCAATCCTATGGGGAAGCACTCTGATTGGATCAGGCCACCACTTCTAATGATGTCAGCAGACTGCTTGTTTTTCTGAGTCTAACAGCATGCAGAGTTACAGCTTCAGGCTTGAATACAGTAAGATTTTTACTATATTTATTGAGGCATAAGAGGGGGTCAGGGGGGTTGGATGGTGGTGTTAACACTATAGGGTCAGGAATTCATGTTTGTGTTCCTGACCCTATAGTGATCCTTTAAGGTAATGCTGACTTTGGTCTCTCTAACACTGTGGCATGTTTCCTTTCTTCTACACTCACTACATACAGCTTTTCTCTGTCCCAGACTATATACCAGGAGCGTCTGCCTGCTAGTAAGAAGGTAAGTAGACAAGTGGACCAGCGAGTGCTAGGGGACAGTCCTTAGAAAGCGTGGAGCGAGCGCATCATTAGATGCATTTATGCCAAGCTCAGGGTGCTGTCTGCATAGTATGCCCTAAGTTGGCCAGCTGCAAGATTGGCAATCAGTATGACATGCATTCATGCCAGGCTGGCCTTCTAATTCTTTGGGCAGACATGTCCTCTTTTTGGGCATGTTCGCCCCTTTTGGCAGGTTACGTGATTTGTGTCAGTGGCACACCCTTTTACCATGCCCATTGACTTCCTGCTTGACTGGACACTGCTGTTAGGTGTTATGGATTTACTTGAAAGATGAAAACATAAATTAGAGGGAGATTAGCATAGAGTATGTGTTTTCTTATAGCTGCTGTTTTCTTTCTCTCCAGCACCATCTCCATCAGATACATGACGCTTGGGAGTGTATTTGGTCGATATGATTCTGTAATTAGGCCCGTCATAAATGTCAGCACCAGGCCCATTGGGCTGTTAATCTGGCCCTGGCTGTGACCCTTTTACACTTAGTTTAGGATCCCTTTAAAGTCCCATATTCCGGACCACATGTGTGTCAATCTTGCGTTTCAGGACAAGACACAGGATGCATGGACCCAGAGGCTGCCTGACAGTGACACAATGACTGTTACAAGAAGGAGACATGGCTTCAGCAAAGGTGCAAATCATCAAGCTGCTCCTCATTAGTTTGGTGTCTTTAGAGCTGCAAGAACTTGCAAAACCGACAAAGCAACGATGGACGGCAGTTCATGGGCACCACTTCAGCTTTAACATAAAGCCACATGGAGGTTCATTATCCAGAGCCATATCATCTAGCGTTGAGGAGGGTGGTTTGATTCTGTCCAGGGAGTGAAGCAGCGAAGACCATAGAGACTAACTGTCAGATCCAAACACTGTCTGACCCAAGGTGCAGGTATACTGCTGAAGGATCCTGGCATTTACTAAAGGAGGAATACGTTTTCTCATTTTTAAAAAATATTTTTAAAATCTATTACTTTTTAATACTCGCTAAAAAAGCATAACTATTATCCTTTATTATATTAATATTTTATGAGGTGACGTTGCCCTTTAAAACCCTCTCCGGCTCCAAAAGATCGAGGCTAGTGCCAGCTTTGGGCACACGTGAGCAGTAATATTTTAGGAACAGTACGAGGTTATTATTGTCAGTATATGAAATCAGAATGCATTATTATCATGGCTGACAAAGCACTCCAGGAAGTTGACCTTATAATGTAAGTTTGGCTATCTGTACTATGATACCTGAGAACAGACCGAGCTGGGGATAGATTTTGGACCATATTATGATAATGGTGCCATAACCCTCTTCACGATGGAAAAGTCAGAATGGAGCAGTGCCTACAAGGACAGGCAACATATGGTACTCCAGCAAAGGCTGCCAACCGGCAAACTTCATCCATAATACCCTCATTACATTTAAAAGTTACATTTTCACAGTGCTATAAAATTACATTACCAAGAAGCGAACACTAGAGGGAGTCATTCCTACACTTATCTTCTTGGCTTTAAAGGGGAACTGTCACTTCTCTGTAATGCATACCATCAAACACTGAAACTCACCCTATAACTTATGTTAACCTGGTTTTCGTGAGATGTTACATTTATTCTTTTAAATTTATATTAAAGTCACACTATAGTCACCAAAACAACTTTAGCTTAATGAAGCAGTTTTTGTGTATAGATCATGCCTCTGTAGTTTCACTGCTCCAATTCTCTGCCACTTTTGTTTCTCTTTATGCAGCACTTGTCACACCTCCCATGGCTGTGACCGACACAGCCTGCATGAAAACAAAATGGTTTCATTTTTTTTATCAGATGTTAGCTTACTTTAGAAGTTGGCATATGTTGCTCCGTAAACTGAACTAATCACACACAGGAGGCTCCTGCAAGGTCTAGCAGGCTATTAACAGAACAGGAGATAAGAAACTCTAAATTAAACAGACTGTGCAATAAAGGAAGTGTAAACATTCTAAATATTTAGGAAGACTGTGGTAGTCACATGGAGAAAGGTGTGACTAGGGCTGTGTAAGGGATTTAACTCCGAAAGGGCAGAGAATTGAGCAGTGAGACTGCAGGGGCATGATCTATACACCATCTTTAGATTCATTAAACTAAAGTGTTTTGGTGACCTTAGTGTCCCTTTAACGATTTAGCAAATGGTATCATAATACTTTTCAGTCCAGACACAGCCAGGTCATGCATTGCAAAGAAAAGGGACACTAGAGCCACCAGAACAACAACTACAGCTTAATGTAGTCATTATTTTGCCTATATCCTTACCTTGCATGATCTTCCCTGTAAACACTGCCTTTTCAGAGAAGCCCAGAGACACATTACATTCACATTACAGCCCAGAGACACGTCCAGTGGCAGTCACTCAGACAGCCCCTGGAGGAGGTTCTTGGGTCAGTGCTGCACAACATGCAGCGCTGACGCTCAGCATCTTCACGCTCTGCATTGAGATGCTGAACGCTCCTTATAGAGATGCATTGATTCAATGTATCACTATGAGGAGATACTGATTGGCCAGCTGGGAATTATTCTGCGCATGCGCGAAACCCTCACAATGCTTTCCTATGGCAGCTACAGAGAGTCCAGACAGCAACTCCCACCCTGCAGAGAAAGCCTACAGCTCAGGGAAGTAAGGGATGGGGGAAAGGCTGCAAGGAGACATACACTGAGACACTAAGGGACACTGGGAGACATTATGACACAGACACATGGGGACACAGTGTCCCCATGTTTCCCAGTGTCCCCATGTCTCCCAGCCAGTGTCCCTGGTGTCTCAGTGCCCCCTAGTCTCCCAGTGCCCCAAGTCTGCCAGTGTATCAATGTCCCCATGTCTCCTAGTGCCTCCATGTCTCCCAGTGCCTCAATTGTATCAATGTCCCCATGTCTCCCAGCCAGTGTCTCTAGTGTCTGTGTCCATGGTGTCTGTGTCCCCATGTCTTCAAGTGTCCCCTATTTTCCCAGTGTCTCCATGCATCCCAGCCAGAGTCCCCTAGTCTCCCAGTGTCACTGGTGTCTCCGTGTCCCTAGGTCTTCCCATGTCCCCAGGTCTTCCTGTCTTCCTAGTGACATGGGGACCCTGGGATACATGGGGACACAGGGAGACATGGGGCATTGAGACACTGTGATACATAGGATCACTGGGAGACCTGGGGACACGACACTAGGGGACACTGGGAGACATGTGGCACTGAGACACTGATACATAGGAACACTGAGACCTGGAGTAATCGACACATGGGGGCACTGGGAGACATGGGGCCACTGGGAGGAATCCATCTATACAGCAGAATCAAACTAAGTAGTTTTTTTGGTGATTTTAAGGCATTTTCTCTTATGTTACTCCTTGTGATTTACATCATGTGATGTCACCCATACATATTTAATTATGCAAATTAGCAAGGCCGGTATGTTTTTCCAAGAAAGGTGGCAACCCTAACTACTTTTCACATACTCTTACTTAAGTATGGAAACTTAAGAGGGATGTATGGGAACAAAACTTGTGTGGACTGGCTGACAATGAATATAGTTAAAGGGACACTAGAGTCACCAGAACAACTACAGCTTATTGAATTTGTTCTGGTGAGTAGAATCATTACCTTCAGGCTTTTTGCTGTAAACACTGTCTTTTCAGAGAAAATGCAGTGTTTACATTACAGCCTGGTGATAACTTCACTGGCCACTCCTCAGATGGCTGTTAGAGATCCTTCCTGGGTCATGGCTGCCTAAAATGCATCCAAACATTCAGTGTCTCCTCCCTCTGCATGCAGACACTGAACTTTCCTCATAGAGATTCATTGATTCAATTCATCTCTATGAGGAGATGCTGATTGGCCAGGGCTGTGTTTGAATCATGCTGGCTCTGCCTCTGATCTGCCTCTTTGTCAGTCTCAGACAATCCTATGGGGAAGCACTGTGATTGGATTAGGCCACCACTTCAAATGATGTCAGCAGACTGCTTGTTTTTCTGAGTCTAACAGCATGCAGAGTTACAGCTTCAGGCTTGAATACAGTAAGATTTTTACTATATTTATGGAGGCATGACGGGCCCAGGGATGGTGGTGTTAACACAATAAGGTCAGGAATTTATGTTTGTGCTCCTGACCCTATAGTGATCCTTTAAAGTAATGCTGACTTTGGTCTCTCGAACACTGTGGCATGTTCCCTTTCTTCTACACTCACTACATACAGCTTTTCTCTGTTCCAGACTATATACCAGGAGCTTCTGCCTGCTAGTAAGAAGGTAAGGAGACAAGTGGACCAGCGAGTGCTAGGGGACAGTCCTTCGAAAGCATTGAGCGACCGCATCATTAGATGCATTTATGCCAAGCTCAGGGTGCTCTCTGCATAGTATGCCCTTAGTTGGCCAGCTGCATGATTGGCATGCAGCCTGACATGCATTCATACCAGGCTGGCCTTCTAATTCTTTGGGCAGACATGTCCTCTTTTTGGGCATGTTCGCCCCTTTTGGCAGGTTACGTGATTTGTGTCAGTGGCACACCCTTTTACCGTGTCCATTGACTTCCTGCTTGACTGGACACTGCTGTTAGGGGTTATGGATTTACTTGAAAGATGAAAACATAAATTAGAGAGAGATTAGCCTAGGGTATGTGTTTTCTTATAGCTGCTGTTTTTATTTCTCTCCAGCACCATCTCCATCAGATACATGACGCTTGGGAGTGTTTTACTGTTTTTGGTCGATATGATTCTGTAATTAGGCCCGTCATAATTGTCAGCACCAGGCCCACTGAGCTCTTAATCTGGCACTGTCTGTGTGTTTTCTCTATGCTGACTGCCAGGTGTAAAGGGCGGAGCTTATAACAATGACTGACAGGGAGCTAAGATGGAGGCGGCTCTCTCTATGCTGACTGCCAGGTGTAAAGGGCGGAGCTTATAACAATGACTGACAGGGAGCTAAGATGGAGGTGGCTCTCTCTATACTGACTGCCAGGTGTAAAGGGCGGAGCTTATAACAATGATTGACAGGGAGCTAAGATGGAGGTGGCTCTCTCTATACTGACTGCCAGGTGTAAAGGGCGGAGCTTGTAACAATGATTGACAGGGAGCTAAGATGGAGGTGGCTCTCTCTATACTGACTGCCAGGTGTAAAGGGCGGAGCTTATAACAATGATTGACAGGGAGCTAAGATGGAGGTGGCTCTCTCTATACTGACTGCCAGGTGTAAAGGGCGGAGCTTATAACAATGATTGACAGGGAGCTAAGATGGAGGTGGCTCTCTCTATACTGACTGCCAGGTGTAAAGGGCGGAGCTTATAACAATGACTGACAGGGAGCTAAGATGGAGGTAGCTCTCTCTATACTGACTGCCAGGTGTAAAGGGCGGAGCTTATAACAATGACTGACAGGGAGCTAAGATGGAGGTGGCTCTCTCTACACTGACTGCCAGGTGTAAAGGGCGGAGCTTATAACAATGACTGACAGGGAGCTAAGATGGAGGTGGCTCTCTCTACACTGACTGCCAGGTGTAAAGGGCGGGGCTTATAACAATGATTGACAGGGAGATAAGATGGAGGTGGCTCTCTCTATACTGACTGCCAGGTGTAAAGGGCGGTGTGTATGGACTCAGCAATGTGTGTCTGTTTGTGTGTATTTACTCAGCAGTCTGTGTGTGTGTGTGTATTTACTCAGCAGTCTGTGTGTGTGTGTATGGACTCAGCAGTCTGTGTGTGTGTGTGTGTGTATTTACTCAGCAGTCTGTGTGTGTGTGTATGGACTCAGCAGTCTGTGTGTGTGTGTGTATTTACTCAGCAGTCTGTGTGTGTGTGTATGGACTCAGCAGTCTGTGTGTGTGTGGACTCAGCAGTCTGGTGTGTATGGACTCAGCAGTCTGTGTGTGTGTGTATGGACTCAGCAGTCTGTGTGTGGACTCAGCAGTCTGTGTGTGTCTGTGTGTGTGTGTATGGACTCAGCAGTCTGTGTGTGTGTGTGTGTATGGACTCAGCAGTCTGTGTGTGTGTGTATGGACTCAGCAGTCTGTGTGTGTGTGTGTGTGTATGGACTCAGCAGTCTGTGTGTGTGTGTGTGTGTATGGACTCAGCAGTCTGTGTGTGTGTGTATGGACTCAGCAGTCTATCAATAATTAAAATTCCTGTGAGTTGTTGTGTAGGAAGGGCCCCAGTGCATTGCTTTGCCCGGGGGGCCTTAACTCTGTTAAAATGGTACTGCTTGTTTGTGTCAGTGAGCTTCTATTTAGTGAGCATGTGTGTGTCAGTGAGCTTGTCTTTAGTGAGCTTGTGTGTGTGCCTGAACTTCTTTGTAGTGAGCCTTCTGTTTATACAAGTGAGTTTGTCTGTAGTAAGCTTGTGTGTGAGTCAGAGTTTTGTCTGTCAGTGAGCCTATTTGCGCATGTCAGTGAGCTTGTGTGCTTACTGTAATATATACATATATATATATATATATATATATATATTTATTTTTTTTATTTATTTTTTTTTTACTTGTAGGAATGGCTTAAATTTTTTTTCCAGGGCTGCTTTGGATTCCCAGTTTGGCTCTGCCAGCGAGTGCACTTTACCGCTGAATCGTCTGTGTGAGCTGCCGCACACTTTAGCCCTGTTACACGCGTCTGGGAGCTGCTGTTGACAGGTACTAGTAGTCTAGAGATTGGGACATGGGGTATATGCTCAGCTATCTGTATAATACAGATCTGTGTGTATATAATATCCCGGGATAGTCAGTGCTTCCTGTATAGTGCTGCTCTCTGTATAATACAGGCCTGTGCCTGTATAATATCCCAGGACATTCAGTGCTCCGTGTATAGTGCTGCTCTCTGTCTTGGGATATTATACACATACAGACCTGTATTATACAGAGAACAGCACTATACAGGGAGCAATGAGTGTCACAATTTATTATACACACAACCCTGTATTATACAGAGAGCACTGACTGTCCAGGGATATTATACACAGACAGCAATTGATAGCTGTGCTGCAAAATGTCCTTTTCAAATGTTGGCAACTATGGCACTGTATCAAGGGAAATGTGTTTGTTTTTTAATAATCCGTGGTGGAAAATAATGAATCCTCCACCAGGGATTATTAAAAAAAAAAAAAACACATTGTGTCGGGGGCGGAGCTTAATATGGGGCGGGGTCAAACTGTGGTGAGGGCGGGGTTAAATGTGCCCCCCTACTTTTGTCCCTGGCCCTCCATGTGCCCCTCCTAAAAATGAATCCTAGAGACGCCACTGAGTAGGTTTCCATATTTTATTTTTATTTTTTTTATTTTTTTTCCCAGCTTACAAATACACATTTATTAAATACAGGAATAAGTAAACATAATATTAAAAACCCAGGGGAATGACAGTTGCCCTTTAAATAACTTAAAAGAGTTGCGTTTAAAGTCTCACGGATACTTAGTTAATTTACCCAAATCCTAAATCTAATCTAAAGCCAACCCAGCACTTATCCGAACCCAGAAGACCAACCTACAGAATCCAACTGCACCCCCCCCACCCCACGTTCCCGGCCTCTTCACCAGCAATCCTCTCCCGGAGGAGCCTGCAGTGTGAGACAAGGGCAGGTTGCTTTTATTATGCTGCTTTAAACGGTTGGTGACGTGGTTTAATCGCTCTCATTCGATCACTCGTTTTCCAATGCATCTTTCATTTGCCTTTTTAGCGGAGAGATGGTGGAGACGTGATGTCATGTCATGGCCCTATGGTGACCTCCTGCTTATCAGCCACAATGAGAAGCAGCTTAGCAGATGGGGAAGACGTTTATCCCTCCAGGCAATACGCTCCCATTACAGGAAAGCCATAGTGGGAATGTATTTTTTGTTGTTAAATATGTTTAAAAGGGAATAGGGTTTATGCAGTGTGGGAAGAAGATTTCCTGCTTTACAACTCATCATTAGAGATGTCGCGAACCTGCCTTCAACATGGATGCTGTCCAGGAGGTGGGAGGGTCTGGGAGGGAGGGTCTGCTGGAGATTGGCCGGGACGTGTCAGCTGACCGGAGTTCGCCACGAACCGTTCGTGGCGAACCGTTCATGGCGAACCGTGGCGAACGGTTCGCGACATCTCTACTCATCATTGCCACCATCACATCTTATTCCCACCAGTATCCACCACCTGCCTGCCATTTTTTTCCTCACACTGCACCCCCTCCATATTATTCTGAGCACAGTGTCTCCCTCTCACATTCCAACACATTGCTCTCATTCCTTCACCTCAACTCAACCTTCATTGTAGACCAACTATGCTTCTCCTCTATCGATAGTCCCCTGTTTACCCGCACCCTCCATTCGTCCATCATATTCCCATAAATCCCAGCACCCTCGCTCCACCCATCAAATTCCAATAAATTTCAGCACCCTCGCTCCACCCATCATATTCCCATAAATTCCAGCACCCTCACTCCACCCATCATATTCCCATAAATCCCAGCAACCTTGCTCCACCCATCATATTCCCATAAATTCCAGCACCCTTGCTCCACCCATCATATTCCCATAAATCCCAGCACCCTCGCTCCACCCATCATATTCTTACAATGGGTTTTTTTCCGCCATTTTATTCCCCCCAGCTCCCCCATCACTCAGGTTTATTCCCCACACTGCCTCCCATCTACCTACCCTATATGTCCTATGCCGGGAAAATGGGGTGAGATAAGAAATTATATTGTGCAAGTGATCATTGTGCGAATGTTAAATAATATGAGATATGAAAAACTAAACTAACTAAAAAGTTGTTTTTTTTTGTTTAGTTTGTTAGCCATTGCTGCTGCCTGAGAGTAGTGGGAATTTGAGTGCAGGGCTTTGTTTGAAGTGCAGATATTTCACTGTATCCAAGTGACCTGCTTGTTACAACTATTCGTGACAATCCCATTCAGAGAATGATGTTTAGCAAACTTAAAATGTTATGACTATACCATTGTTAGTGCATTATATCATTAGCTACTTTGTCAGCCTACCAGATGCTTATTCATTCAAGGTAACATATTTTTATATTTTGCAACAAACTAAGAAAAAAATCCTTCTGCCAGTCAGATTTCTCCTTGGATTAAAAAGCTTTCACCCAACAAACTAAAAATCATATCCCTTAATATTGTGTTTTTGCAAGTATTCATCCAGTTGCTGTTTAAACATCTGTACAGGCTCTTATAAAAAAACACCTTTTGCAGGCAGAGAATTCCACATCCTTATTGTTCTTACTGTAAAAAGCCTTTCCTTTGCTTTAGACTAAATCTCCTTTCTTCCAGTCTGAATGCGTGACCTCGTGTCCTATGTATAGTACTGTTTATGAATGTACTTCCAGACAATGATTTGTATTGGCCCCAAATATAATTGTATAATGTTATCATAACACCTCTGAGTACAAATCAATCAAACAAACAGCATTTCAGTTCTTGTTATCGCAGTCTTATTAATTCTCATTTAATTTTCAATTATTTTTAATCAGGTCAGATACATGGACAAATAGCAAGCTTTATTACGTAAAGATACTGCAAGAAGAACATTGACAAACAAAGACGTTCTCAAACACAAAGTAGTACAATTACACATTACAATACAGCTGAATTCTGACTAAAATAATTTAAGAATAAAATATTATGTATACCATTTACTGTCTCGTTAGCCAAAATCTTTAAAGTTCACATCTGTAGATTTTAGCATTTTAGAAAAATATTAAATATCACAAGCCCTAGAAATTTTAAAACGTTTCATGGCCTCATGTGCCACAGGCCATGGTGGTCAAAGCAAGATAAATATAAACAAAATATTTACATGTAAGTGCTACTTTTGAAGTCAGTCAGTTTTACGACCCAAGATGAGTCATGTTAAAATTGTCTATTCATTTGGAAGGTATCTCTGCCTGTACTTCAAAACGTAAAATGTCCTGAAGCGGAGTCTGTTAAACCACTGGGTCAGAACCTGGGCAATCCATCTGTGGAGCAAGAACATTTCTCAACTATCATATGAGGAAATTCTGCCACTTCAATTTCTGTGTAATCGCCCTTCTTGACCAAGTACATGACCGGCAAAGGAGCACTTTCCACAACCGAACAAGTCCTCTCCCCATAGGGATGTTGAAAGAAGGGAAGTTTTGGTTGGCGGCAGCCTCCGGTACAGCGATAAGCATTGTATCCCGCAGGTTCAATGATCCAGTACTGTGTCCACGTCATTTGGCGAAAATTGATGAAGTATTCTTCTCTACAGCATCGATTGTCCTTGTTTTCACCTAGTTTTGAGCAGTCTCCATGGACTCTAGGAAACGAAATGGAAGATTTGTTTAGAGCACTATTAAAACATGGCAGATCAAATGATACATAATTTGGCTCACTACAGATGTCTGATTGCAACATGCTAGAGTTTGTGGTCAAGATTTAGCACTTTTTTTGGTGGAAATAAGCAACACAGGTCTCGCCCTTGAAGTCTAGTTTTGGACAATACTTCATAAGAGTGTCATTAGAAGTGGAGATTATGTGCTTGCTTTTAGAGGCCTCACAATATTCAAAAAGTAGCACCCCCAAATGAAAAACATGGTGGCAGGGTTATTCAGTAATGTGTGAATTTTCAGGAATTTAAAACTAATTTTAATTGGTTCAAATTTTAAGTAAAAAATGACTGGATTGAAAATGGCTGACATGGACATTTGGTTTTCAGTTCTCTATATTTGTATACTCTGTTCGTAAATAAACCGCCTGGAAATCATTTAATATCAAGATTTTCCCGGTTAGGGATTACAAATCTATAACCACATTTACCTAGATTGCTTTTATAGCTAGTGGTTACAGATTATGTACTCAGACATGTAGACAACAAATGGATGGTACATGGATGGCTGAATAGGAAGAAAAATATATCTTCTATTTAATAGGGATGGCACCTGGCCGGTATTTTACCGGGACAGCCAGTATTTGGGGCTGCCTGGCCTCAACTGCTAAAATGTGGGTATTGAAGCTTTGACTGAAACCAATATATACAGAGAAAGATTGAAGCACTGATTCACGCAGGTCTAACAGATCAGAGTCACCTATGTTTACAGCCATCTTGAATAACTTTATCTAAGACAGTACAGGGGGAAGCATAAACATTAAACGTTAGATTTCTTACCCATTTTCAGCCTGATCGAGCGTGTATACAGCCAGTTCAGGTATTTCCTTGGCATCTCCGTGAGGATTCTGGGAAGTGAAATGTACCAGCTGGGCCATTTGAGAAGCATAGCTGCCAGGTCTCTCGCCATCCACCTGGACCTCCAGGTACATGGTGGCCTTGTTCTCACTTTCCATCCAGTAATGCACCGCCGAGGTCACATCAAAGCTTCTCCAACCCGACTCCATGATTGGCACCAGCCTAGGGGGCGACAATGACTTATTAATATATCCGAGCACGATACAATCTGGGCTATTCACTAAAGAAACAATTGTCAGGAATTCAAAGTAAATTTCAAATTTAAGTGGAAAATAGCCAAAAGGTTCTCCAATACTGCTATGCTTCCAATTCTACTATTTTGACCTTAAATTTGAAATAGATTTCGAATTAATTCTGAATTCCTGGCAATTCTCACTTTACTAAATAACCTTAAATATTTTTAATGCCTCTCCAAACTCTCTTACTCATATGTATCATTTAGACAAACATACAATGCAGCCAGGCCACCTACCTGGAGTCTACTAGGTGAGTCCTGTTGGTCCCATCCTTTAGAATCTCCACGTAGCAGATACTGACTCTGGCGTTGTTGACGGGTCGATGGTGTCTTCTCTCAGGAAGATTCTTGAGGTTGGGGGACAATTTGAAGAGTTTCAGCTCTGCCATGGTCACCGCACTGTTATTGGGGATCCTAGCTGCTATATCAAACACCAGAGTCTGCTTTATGGGTCCAGAGTACAGCACCTCACCAGAAATGGCTGCAACGTAAGATTAGTTTACATTTAATAAATAAATTCAATGAATAATGCAAATAATAATACAATATAATGAAATAACAAAAAATATACATTTTCTGCTAATCTTCATAGTACCAACTGGAACATTTAACTTCTCAGCCACAAATATTCAAACTCTCAAAAAAAACAAAAAAAAACACATCTTGTGCTAAGTGGAGTGTATTCACATAGCCAAATTTGTAGAAAATGTAAAACTGAAATGCAAACTTTACAAAAAATTGTTGTGACTATTGCAACGTTGGAGAATTTTTCCAAAGCAACATTTTTTCTTTATTTAGAATTTTTTTTTTAAAATCTATACAATTTGCTAGTAAATAGTTGACCTATTATGCTCTATAATCTTAGAATTTTAGAACTTGATATACCATAAGTATAATTTAAATACCAAATACCGTGAGCTGCAATATTTTCGTTACAATACTTTCTTTTAATGTGTATATTTTTTGTGTGTGTGTGAATATAAATGCCATTCTGAGTGGCCTTACCTGTATTGGCTTTGATGCCCCTGAGAATGCCCATTAGACTGGGCACAGATCTCCTCTGTCTCTCCCTGTGTTTGTTCAGCATAGAGACATACTTGTCCTGAACATTTTTGGGGATCAGCAGGTTTTCAATGTCTCTCTTCTGTAATCTAGGAACTTCAGGCAGGTTAAGCTTTTTGAGCAGAGCATCCTTGATGTCCTCAGGTGTAAATCCATTGCAAGGTACCAGGCAGACAGCAGCCAGGAGCCAGCACAGGGTGGTGGGAAGTGTTGCAATCATCATTCTGTATCACACAGCTGGTTCCACTGCTACTAACCCAGACCAAGGCTTAACTTTCCCCTGGAGACCCTCATCCTTCCCTATATATAGCCCCTCTGTGGTCAGCCCCTGCTGGGAGAGCTAATTATGCTAATTTGGCTATAAAATAAAGTAAATAGTAAGACAGGAGGATGTCCAAACACTGAGTGAAAATATTCCATCACGAGTCCATTCTCTCTAATTAATGCGTTAGGCAAGCTGTAATATTAAATCTTAATAATAATAATAATAATAAAAAGAAGAATTAACTTTCTCTGGTTTTCTAGATACTTGGCGTTGTTACCAAGGGAATTATAATACAGATACATTAACACTAATTTGTTAGTAAATAGCACCATCCTACTAATATTTTTGTAAAAAACATCACAAACTGGACATGTTAAACCTGAGAATGTTTGTAATTTGTTTATTTATTCTGAGAGTTTTTTGGGTTATAATATATATATAGGCTGGGGTTTTAATAATATTATATCGGGTGCGCAGAAACACTAGGATCCATTATCCAGATTAGTGGGTTTCAACCAGTGTGCCTCCAGCCAGCTCACAGTGTGCCACCCCAATACGGACCTCAGGCTGAGGCGTTGGTAGGTCCAAATCATACCCAAGGCTTAAACTCCCCAAAATCGATGGGGGTTGATGAGTGGGTGCAGGGGATAATTGTGTGGTGTGGAGGGGTTTATATATATATATATATATATGTAAAGTTTGTGTGGCATGTAGCAGTATATTTGTGGGTGGCATTTGTGTGGATGCAGGTTGTCCATGTCTGGTATAAGTATTTGTAAAGGTTTGTACTAGTTTCCCTATTACCTCCAAACTTGTATCTTTCCATATCCTCCACTTGTGCCTCTCCTTCACCCCTCATTATTTGCACCCCATTCCCCCTCATCCAATTTGGCAACTCCCACCAATCTTCCTTCACACATTATTGTCACCCCACTTACCCATTTCCCCTTGTTCACTGTGCCCAACTTTCCTATTATTCCTCGCATTTGACCCAACTTACCTGCCTCTGGGCAATGGTTCTCTTTAGTGCCATTTAGGCTACTGTGGCTGTGCTGGCTTGCTGACTATTTCTACAGAGCTGCTCTCACTGCGGGTCAGCCAGAGCAGAGTGCCATATTTATATCTACCTTGTGCTGCTTTCGCCAATACCTAGGGAAGAGTCCGGACAAGGACCTCAGACGTGCCAGCTCCAAATTCACCTATAATACTGGCAAGATTTGGATTTCTCGTATTCACAGTTTTTTTCTAGAGACGGGCCTGATTTCAGGGTTGTAACAGGTTGAATTTTTTTAATTCAAGAGCCAGCATTTAAATTGGCATTCCCGCGATTAATTAAAACTAGTAACTCAACATATCTAGGAGCGCTCATACCTTTCTGGTAAGGCTTCAAGTAAATGTGACATTTATAAGTTGCCAAAGTCGATATAAAAGTAGGGGTGCCTTGCCCCCCAAAAAGTTGAGAACCACTGATCCAAAAAAGGTTACGTGCATCCCCTGTCCATACAGTCATTGCTGGACTGCTTTTCCCAGATATGACCAACAAAGAATATCGACTGACTTCATACAATGCTAATATTCTTTTAATAACATTTTATTAGGCTTTGGAACACTATATCGTCTGCATCAAAACTTCACAATAACAGAATTAGAAAGAAGTGGTTATACCCAAGAGAGAAAGAGAGAGAGAACCAGCAAGGAGTAGGAAAAAAGGAAATAAATAAAGGGGGATGGGGGGAAAGTAGCCTTCTTAATCTGTATACTAATATTTTAAAAACATTTTAGTGATCCATTTTATTCCCCCACAAAAAAAGATTAAGATGCAAAATTTTTGTATTGCTACCCTGTGCCTATTTAGCATAGGAATTAGAAATAATTAAGATATAAAGAGTAACTAAATTAAAAAAAAATAGAGAAATATGTGAGATGTATTCTGGGAGTGATTAAAAACAAACAAAAATTTTACCAAAGAAGTTTTTCTTGTAATTTTATTGGTAGGTCTTCCCCCTACCAACCACATATAAAGTGCAGACATCTTGTGAAATGAAGTCACACATTGCGGGATATACATTCCCATATTAGGCACGGTCAGCCTATCAGGATCAAGTCTACTACAGGTCTGGCAGCCATATTGTAGAGACGTACTGGATACCGCACTCACCAAATAACCCAGGCGCTCTGTAGCCAGGGCTGGCCAGGCCTCCCTTCCAAGATATACAGAATAAATACTGGCTCAAGCACTCCGGGATAACAGAAATAACAGAGTTATTGGAGGAACAAGCAGCAACGTTTCGACCGTACCGGGTCTTTATCATACCAGCCATATTGGACCTTTTACTTTAAGACCCTTATGTGGGTAATATAATTCTGGCCCTTAAAATATCGCTGGTCAATTTCTAACAATTTCCAGTTTATAAAATATTATAATTTTTTCCTTGCAGCGTTAGCACTGTAAACTTTGCCTTTTCTGAGAAAGGGCAGTGTTTACATTACTGCCTAGTAACAGCTCTAGTCACAATCACTCTGATGGCCACTAGAGGTGCTTCACCTTTAATCTCCAGGGATTCCAATATTATAGTGTTAGGGATATATATTTATATTCCAGACACTATAGTGTTCCTACTATTAGAGGAGGAATAAACCCATTTACTTTATCAATGTATACTACCGTATATATTTTCTTTGTAGAATTTACCTTGTTATTTAGTGAATACTAACCATGTATTTCACGGTATAATTACACAATCCTCTGAACATGGACCTGTCTGCACTCAGTGTGTCATTAATCGCTCCCTAAAGTAAAAATCATTGAATAGACAGTGAGATCCCTCAGGCGGTTAATGCACCGACTGCAGAATCTGTTCAGCCACCCCATGTCGCAGGTTCTACACCCAGAATGGTCAATGCAGGGTGAACTGTTTGTTCACTGTAACTGGTGAAACACTTTTTTGTTGTTCGTATTAAATGTTGATTCGACTGTTACTAAGTGGATAAAAATGTGATTTTCAAACATTTAAAGAACTGAAATCAGGGTGCCAGACGGCAGATGGCTCATTGGTATTGAACTATCCAGACAGCTCTACGCCCACTCACTGCCCAACTTTGTCCTGTGTTATTTACCCTTGGCTGGGGTCACTTGTCATACAGGGCCTGGAGTCTGGGACAGAGGCGCTAAATGCCTGGCCTAAAGTCGCTGGGGTCACCTGTATGCTCATCTTCACTCACTGGGGCTGTGGATTGCAAGGCCGGATTATGAGATCCACAAACAGCTCTCTGTTAATGAGCAAACAGACTGAAATGTGGATTGGACGCTGTTCACAGTGTGCTGTTCAAATGGCTGGATTCCCTTTTCCTTGTCATGCAAACAGGAGCTGGAATTTGGGGAAGGCCATACAGTTTGTGTATTGGATGATCTGTGCTGCAAACAGGTTGTCAGACAGGAGATTAAATAAGAGAGTGAAATATGACAGACGCCCATCGTCAGGACGTATCTGTGTTTACGTCTGGCACCATATTTCTCTTTCATGGATCATTCTGTTATTTGTCTTTCAACAATACTTTTTTCCCCCAATACATTTAAAGCCTTTTTTTGGGAACCTCTAGATGTGTTCGAAACACGCACAAAAACTTTCCATGTTTATTTACTAGCAGATTGTAAGAATATCGCTAAGATTGCTGCTGTTTGCTCAATTTACTGCCACTTTTAAGATAAACCTCAAAGTTCTTTCACATTCCTTATATTACTTTATTATTTATTTCTAAACAGACATTTGACTACCTGCAGTTTACTCAGTTACATTTTCTTTAATTTGACCATTTGCTCTAATATTACTTAAATTCCTAGTTCACCTTCCTGATTTAGCAGGCTAGTTAGATGACAATGTTTCTAGTCACCAGACATTTTGTTCTTTTATTACTTGAATTTATTTTTATTTTTTAAAGTTCATCTTGGATCATTCAGCACTTGTATGCAGTGGTGTATTTTGGATTTTGGATTTGTGCTTCCCTAGGCACGATTAAATTCGGGCACCCCTAAAATCTAAATTTGCTCCCCCCAATTCATGTCAAGGCCACTTTTTTGACTGATAGACACATGCCCTCATTGATACATGCACTGATATACACTCACTGACAGATACACAGTCATTGGCACACACTGTTTAACCAACACACATTTTCACTGACAGACTCACACTGACACACCCACTCACTGACAGGCACACACTCTCAGCTACACATAAAATGACATACACACACTGACACACCCATTCTCACTGAAAGACAGATACACACAAACACACACCCACACACACTTTCACTCACTCACAGACACACACTGACAGCTACACTCAATCACTCACAGTAAGGTGGACAGCCCCAGAACACGAGGCAAACAAGGCATTTGTCTGGGAGCTTGGGGTGGCATTTTTTGGCACCCCCCCTCAAAGGGCCGCCCTAGGCAAATGCCTTGTTTGCCTTGTGCTTGTATGGGCATGGGCAATCATAGGGATCATTATGGTGGTATACGGGAATAAACTACACCCAGACATAAATACCTTAACTTAAAGGACCACTATAGTGCCAGGAAAACATACTCGTTTTCCTGGCACTATAGTGTCCTGAGGGTGCCCCCACCCTCAGGGTCCCCCTCCCGCCCGGCTCTGGAAGGGGGAGAGGGGTTAAAACTTACCTTTTTCCAGCGCTGGGTGGGGAGCTCTCCTCCTTCGATCCTCCTTCTCTCCTCCCCGTCGGCTGAATGCGCACGCGCGGCAAGAGCTGCGAGCGCATTCAGCCGGTCGCATAGGAAAGCATTATCAATGCTTTCCTATGGACGCTTGCGTGCTCTCACTGTGATTTTCACAGTGAGAAGCACGCAAGCGCCTCTAGTGGCTGTCAATGAGACAGCCACTAGAGGAAATAGGGGAAGGCGTAACCCATTCATAAACATAGCAGTTTCTCTGAAACTGCTATGTTTATGAAGAAATGGGTTAACCCTAGCTGGACCAGGCACCCAGACCACTTCATTAAGCTGAAGTGGTTGGGTGCCTAGAGTGGTCCTTTAACCCCTTAAGGACCAAACTTCTGGAATAAAATGGAATCATGATATGTCACACGTCATGTGTCCTTAAGGGGTTAACACAATAATGAACACCAAGTAAAACAACAAAACATAAAATAAAACATAAATAAGAGAATGTAAGCAGAATCCCCATATCCGCAATAAGGCTAGTGCTACAAGTATTCTACCAAACATAATATAGTGTTGTTTTATTTAGTTCATTGCAGGAAGGAACCATGCAAACAGCGATGTTTCAGCTCACACAGCCTTTTTACGCGTGAGCCGAAACGTTGACCTTTTTGTGCTTCCTGCTATGAACTGCGTTAAATTTGGAGAGTACGGGTCCATTCTTTTTTTTATTTTTATTTTCGATTTTTATTGTGAATGTTAAATACAACATAGATGCCAAGCACGATCTCAGCTACAGGATTTGTCATGGAACAGATACAGTGTCAGGAGTGTACATGAAGCATTCACATTCACTTTTTTGCATTTAACAAAAAAACGCGAGTAGAACATAACTACGATCTGTCAGGTATAATATATCTATGGAGAATTGTCAGACAGTGTAGTGAAGGTCGTCAGGATCTAAAAAAACAAACAAACAAAAACGTTACCCTCGTTAGCAAAAACATCTGCATCAACCTTGGTGAAACATTTTTTTTATTAGGAATTTATTTACTGTTGTGGCAATACCAGCTCTATACAGCCACCCACTTTAGTAAGTGCTCATCTATACTTTATTGCTGTATAATTTCTCTGTGCACAGTTGACTTTGTGGCTTTGTTATGGATGCAAATATATATTTTTTCTGCTGTATTGTAAAAATATTTTCTTAATAGATGCTGGATTTTAACACGTGGCCTGAGACCTTTGTGTAGCTTCTAGATGGTGGACTCATAAATAGGGTCACAGTGTGAAGAATTCACAGCTCCATAAGACTTGCGGAAGTAAGTTACATTTGTGTCCTGTCCAACATCTATGGTTACATTAGCACCTATTGAAACCCTCCCATCATACAGCAAAGTCCCTTTAACAGCCAGCAGAATGGACAAACTGCAACTTTAAACAGAATTCTTTTTTTTTTTTTACATCTTTTTACTTCTCCAGATGTTTAAAGGGATGGACTCACCCACTGACCCTATGTCAATAATTACTGAACAGCAAGTGCAAGTCTTGATTCATATAAGCTCCCACGAGGTTCCCCTGAACTCTGCAGGGAGTATCCAGACATAAAGACACCTGTCCCTCACTGAATGCTATGACCGCATGGGCTCATTCTCAAACCAGCACTGACTGAGCGCTGATTGCGTACAAGTCTACTAATAACAATGGCTGCCAGAATTTCACACAAGCATTTGTTTGGAAACCATCCAACTCTGTCTGCAGGACATGTTGATTAAAGAATCACAAAGGATTTCACTGGTGGGGAATGCTTGTGTCGTGTAGTTCTAGACAGTCAGGGCAAGGGCATATGAGGAGGACAGGACAACGTTCATTGCTTTGGACTGGTTAGAAGATTGGGGGGGACAGAGCTAAGTCACCCAGCACCCCAGTAAGTCACCCAGAACTCCAGTAAGTCACCCAGCACTCCAGTAAGTTGTCCAGCATGTATCGTCATACCTAGAAACCTTCTAAATGACGTAATATACATATTAGCTCGTTATATGTCATTACAAACATTCTGGCATTATTTTCACTTAATCAGGAATTGTGGAGAAAGGACAATGGGATAGAAAATCGTAGACCAATATAGCAAACTAAAAAAAACCTTCAATCTGTTATTTTATTTTTGTTAATTTACTGTAATTCTAGTGAATATATCCCTCGCTGTAGTACCGATCTACGGATCATGGAAAACAGAACTTGTGAGGACATTAGAGATGTTCTTAGTTTAAATCACATATTCTAACGGTAAGAGCAAAAACGTACCAATCGACAGACTCAACTATCTGTGCAGCAATTTAACGTCCATGCATTAAGCGTACATATAAAACTCACTGTCTTCGATCATTTGTCTGGATAAATCAAAGCAGGAATAACCATAAGGCAACCTCAGGTGGCTGCGTATGGCCCAGGGGACCCCAGATCCATTTATTTGGTTGACTTTATTTACCATCCCTATGTATATGAGGGGGAGGGCAGGAACTGATAAAGCTGGCTAGGGCCTTGTGGGATTTTAATCCTTCTCTGCTCCCACCTTTGTTTCCTCCCTAAAACACAAGTATGTCCTGTCTAGGCCCTTACACTCTGCTGAAGACTTACGTCTATCTTCTGTCCGTACTCCCTCCTCTGATGCTCACCTTCAAGATTTCTCGAGGGCTGCACCGTTCCTGTGGAACTCACTTCTCTCCTCCGTTAGATGCTCACCCAGTCCCCACGCCTTCAAAAAATCATTAAAAACCCACTTCTTCATAAAAGCGTATTTAATTAAACTGTTAATAGCTCCCGACTGATTCCTTTCTTGCAACTGTCATTAGTCTAATACTATCCTTACCTTTTGTGTCACTTTACCCCACTCCCTCTAGCATGTAAGCTCATTGAGCAGGGCCCTCAACCCCTCTGTTCCTGCGTGTCCAACTTGTCTGGTTACAACTACCTGTCTGTTCGTAGGATTGTAGGATGGTTTGTAGAGTGCAATCAGGGCCGGTGCAAGGATTTTCGGGTACAGAGGCGAAGATGTATTTCCCCCCCCCCCCAGCCCATCTCCCCGTCCATTAGTGGTCCCCTCCCTTCCCTGTCCCTTAGTGTTTTTCTAACCTCCCCCCTCTTTTCCCTGTACCTTGGTGTTTCTCTCCCCTCCCTGTCCCTTGGTGCACCCCGCACCCCCATAGTGGTCGCACTCCCCTTCCTAGTGTGCCTCCTACCTCTCTTGTAGCGTTGCCGAGCCAAGGATATCCCCTACAGGAGCTTCAATTTTCTGTACCTGGCCGGACTGACAGGGAGTGCTCTCTCAGTGAGCACCTCCACTCAGTCTGGCCGGGTACAGGAAACAGAAGCTCCTGTACTGCGCTCCGCCACGCTACACTCAGTGGTGTATACACACTGACAGTCACACACACTCAATGACAAACATACAGACTCACTGATCTGACACAAACTCATTCATTGACACACACACACTGATTGACACTCATTGACAGACACACTGATAGTCACACACAGACTCAATGACAAAGATACTCTCACTGATTTGACAGACACTCACAAACACACACTGACAGACACACACATACACTGACACACATACACTCACATGCAACACTCATACAATCACTCACAAACACACACACTTACTCACACACACACACACTCACAGTCACTCACAGACACACATACACTCACTCACACACAGACACACATACACTCACACACAGACACACATACATACACACACTCACACACAGTCAGTCACTCACAGACAGGCCCGGACTGGCCATCGGGCACGGAGGGCAAATGCCCGGTGGGCCGCGGTGTCCGTGGGGCCGAGGCCGGCAGGGGAGGTCCCAGGATCTCCCCTGCCGGTGTATGCAGGGCCGGCACTATCCGAGCGCCAGCCCCGCTGTTTGCCATGGAGGGCCAGTGGGGAGATCAAAGAGCTCCCTCACCGGCCCATTTAAATAGACCTGCGGCTGGGGAGAGAGGGAGAGGACCCGGCGGAGCTCTGTCTTGCAGCTCTGCCGGGTTTCTCTCGCGAGATCCGGAGCGTTGCCATGGCAACGCCCCGATCTCGCGAGAGAGTTCACTCACCACTGGACCACCAGGGATGGTGTGCGAGTGCCGGTGCCCCCCCTCCCAGCTACCACGTGCCTGTCCCCCCCTCCCAGGCTAAAGGTAAGAAGGGAGGGGGGGGGTTTAGTTTTTTTTTTGCTTAGTTTTTATTTTATTTTTTTATATATTTACCCCCACTTAATTTTTTATTTGTTTATTTACCCCCCAACACACAACATTTATACACAGCACTATCACACTCAGCATTCTCAGCACTCACACAACACTCTCACACACATCACACCCAGCACTCTCACACCCAGCACTCTCACACCCAGCACTCTCACACCCAGCACTCTCACACTCAGCACTCTCACACACAGCACTCTCACACTCAGCACTCTCACACACATCACACGCAGCACTCTCACACACATCATAGCACTCTCACACACATCATAGCACTTTCACACACATCATAGCACTTTCACACACAGCACTCTCACACACATCATAGCACTAGCACTCACACACAGCACTTTCACACTCAGCACTCTCACACACATCACACGCAGCACTCACACACATCACACACAGCACTATCACACCCAGCACTCACAACACACAACACTCACACACAGCACTCTCACACACAGCGCAGCACTCTCACACATCATAGCACTCTCACACACATCACACGCAGCACTCTCACACACATCATAGCACTCTCACACACAGCACTCTCACACACATCATACACAGCAATCTCACACATCGCAGCACTCTCACACACATCATAGCACTCTCACACACATCATAGCACTCTCAAACACAGCACTCTCACACACATCATACACAGCAATCTCACACATCGCAGCACTCTCACACACATCATAGCACTTTCACACACAGCACTTTCACACTCAGCACTCTCACACACATCACACAACACTCTCACACACAGCACTCAGCACTCAGGCACATCACTCTCACACACATCACACTCAGCACTCACACACATCATACACAGCACTATCACACTCAACACTCATACACAGCACTATCACACTCAGCACTCACACACATAACACACAACACTCACACACAGCACTCTCACACATCACTCTCACACACATCACACATCATACACAGCACTATCACACTCAGCACTCACACACATCACACACACAACACTCTCACACACATCATACACAGCACCCTCACACACACAGCACCCTCACACACATCACACCTCACACACACATACTGCACCCCTCACATACACACACAACCCCCCAATACACTGCATCACACACATACACAATACTTCCAAACATATTTATATAAACTATATATATATATATATATATACACATACACACAACACCCCTCACACACACACTGCACCCCTAAACACATTACATTCCAGACACACACTAGATCCTTTAGCCAACTCTGGATCATATACACACACACACTCTGGATCCCCTATATGCACACTAGATTCCTTGTAAGCAAACACATACTACATTCCCTGAACACACACTCTCTACAAACACTAAATCACCTATACACACACACACTATAGCCTGTATGCACACACTTGCTACATCCCCTATACACACATTCTCTACAGCCCCTAGCCACATATGCATTACATTACACCACAAACACAACACGACTAAAACAGACCTTATTACACAATACCACACCATGACCAGCTCACTCTGCACAAACATAATACCACAAACAGGCTCCAAACACATGCACAATACTCTTTCCTGGCCCTTTTGTCTCCTGGTATCCATTTATAGAGACACCAGAGACAAGTTGCAAGGAAACAGTGCAAGCATGTTATTAAATTTGCTTGCACTGTGCAGAACAAATACAGGGCTTTTTTCTCATGCTAGAGCTCTTCAGCAGAGCTCTGCGCATGGTCTGCCCTGGAAGAGCATTGAACCAACATGCTCACTTTGAGAGGGGGCGTGTTTGTCATGAGTGATGACAAAACACACCCTCTCTGCCCCGCCCCCTTCTTAGTGGGCCGCTGTGATAAAAAAATGCCCGGGCTGAATTTTTTTCCCAGTCCGGCCCTGCTCACAGACACACATACACTCACACACAGACACACATACACTCACTCACACACACTCACTCACAGACAGTCACTCACACACAGACACTCACTCACAGACACACATACACACACTCACACATACACTCACTAATTATTTTAATAAATAAACATTTTCCACCCAGCCTCCCTACCTGGAGAGCTGGTGTGGATGATGAATCATTCCCTGGGGTCCAGTAGGGCTGCTGGGCGGTGTGCGGCAGTGGTGTGATCAGACGCGGCGAGGGAGCTCTAATCTCCCCGCTCTGCTCCCTCGCAGACTGTCTTCTGATGCTGCGGGAGCCGGAAAATGACGTTATATTCTGGCTCCCGCGGCATCAGCAGACGGCGCGTGAGGGAGCAGAGCGTGGAGATTAGAGCTTCCTCGCCGCGTCTGATCACACCACTGCCGCACGCCGCACTGGGGGTCCAGAAGGTGGCCTGGCAGGAGGGAGAGCTGAAATCTTGCACCCCCGGAGCCGTTGCGCCCAAAGGCGGCCACCTGTGCCGCCTTATGGACGCGCCGGCCCTGAGTGCAATCAGGTGACAAAATGAGAAAATATTATATTGCTAACAAATACACACCAGGCACTATAACCATTTCATCTCA